GCATGGATTCCCCTCCCTTCTGAGGGCAGAACAGCAAAGACAGGATAAGCAAAAAGGAAACATACATACAAACTTTTAGCTCCTCCAACAAACCCACAGACCTAGCAGCATATAGCACCTCCCTGTGATTCACATTTTGCATCAAAGGCGAATAAAGGAATCTGAATGTCTAGAGATGGAGAGTCTAGCAGCTCAGACTTCAAGAGTCACCTAGAGATTTCAGGTATGAATCCATACAGATACAATGGGAAAAGTAAAATATAACTTGTATGTGTTAATAAAATTTAACACATACAAGATTTCGCTCTTATCACCATTGACTGGTAAATCCACACCTGGCTATCACCACCCAGCCCTTCCAAAAATTGGTAAATCCTTCACTTGAGGCTGAAGTCTGAAAACAATCAGGTCAGAATGTCTTCGCACCCGTCCTCTCCCAAAAGTAGCGATGGCCAAGGCTCTGCAGTCCTCTTAACAGGACGTGCTCTGCTCTGAGACACTGGGGGTACAACACACGCACGCAGGGTAACACTCCATCAAGTGGTTGCAGGGCTGGGCCACACAGTGTTAAATCGAAAAGCAGAGGTGGAAAATCAGCTTTGCTTTAGCAAACAATGCAACTCCCAGCCATGGATATCTTTTAAGCCTCTGGAAAAAAACTGCTGGAAGCTTGATTAAAGGTGCTAAGACCATGGTACAATCTCTAGCATGTGCTCAGATCCTCAGATACATTAAGTCCTTCATAGAACAGTCATTAGTTTTCTCCAGCCAACACACACAGCATGAAGCTACTTTGGCTTGCTCCTCTGCAAAAATCACAGAAGAGCTCTAGTAAGCCCCTAGTAAGCAGAGCTGGGGCACAGAAATCATTGCACTTACTTGGTGTAATTGAAATTAAAGGGACAAAAAGGTTTTCTAGAGAAGCATCATGAGAAGCTGGATGCAAAGAGGCAGCAGGCTTCAGCTCGTAGCCTAGGCTGGAGAATGAAGTATCTGCCATTGAGCTATTTGGAGGATCTGGAAAGGGCAATTTCATTGGTGATAAATCCCTGGAAAGAAAAGCATGTAGAAAACTTGTATTAACTGGGGAGACTACATGGTATGTACCATCTTCTGCTGTGTCCATTTGGTGTTCCAAATCCCTAATCACTTTTAGGTATAAAGAAAGTACAAGCTTACACTCTCTTGAGTTCTTGAGAAATTTGAAAACTGTCTCTATTTTATATGGAAAAAGCTGCTGTTTCACCATTCATTAAGGAGGACTTTGATTTCTGGTACTAACGTGAAACTCTTTCAGGGCTTTGGAGGTTTACTCTCCCTATGCACAGAATCTCTGGAGCTCTAGTCAGTGAGATTAAAATATGTTCTAGCTCAAAGACAATGCAAGAAGCTGGGAACCTCCAGTAAAATTTCTTGGCCTATATTATGGCAGACTGGGTAAGCATATCATAATGGCCACCTGCTCTAAAGACCTGTGGGTGGTTAATTTGTTTCACAAACTGTTAGGCTCCCACTGAATGCCTGGAAACTACTTTGTCACAGCCTGAGAAAAGCTGGGTAAAGTGGTTTTTGAGTGACAGGTTATTATAAAAAGACCTGACTGCAAGGTTTTCATTCCTTTAGCTCAAGAACACCTTGTTACTAAGCCACGGGATTTGTCTTCCCAAGTTTCTGACTCTTGGAAGGTCCTAGTGTGTAACTACACAAAGTGCAATTAATAGGTGTGTAACTACTGCTTACGAGCCAGCAGCAGATGGGTAGCTTGCCATCACTAACCAGTTGAGCTTTCCTAAACCTCACTGCTGTACAACAGCATTACTCATCTCCAAAGTCAGATTGTATTATGCAGAGTTTGCTTACAAAGATAATGTCTTGGTCCTGGATGGTGGAGAGAACTGATGAACCAGGCTCTGAAGTTCATTCTTCTCTGAACAGCTGTCTTCCCAGCTCTCCTGTGGTCTCAGTGTTTGAGCAGCACTTAGGATTTCACCATGTCCGTTGTGTACAGCAGGCTGAAAAATACGACACTTCTGGTTCATGCTCTATAACATCAGCAAAAACCAGACCTGTTCCACTGAAAAGAATTTAATTTTTAATAACACTAATTAAAGCAGAAATAAATATGAGTAATCTGGTTGCAAACTGCATTGCAGAGCAGGAGAATTCTCGTTTCCCTTCAGAACAAAGTGGCATTTAAAAAGGCTACCAGAAGAAGCTAGGAGATCAAGAATCCTGTCTGATCTTTGTTCTTTGTACCTCATGGACTAACATACTTGATGATCACTCACCTCTGCTAAGGCAAAATCAGGTGGCGGTTTCTCTTCAACAGGAGAGTTGATGAGACCTAAGAAAGATGCCAAAATGCCACCCGTCAATTACAGAAAACAAGGGTTTTCCATAGGTTCTTCCTTTGTTGTCTAACAGCAGTTTGACTACAGTCTAACACCATTAAAGAAACTACATTCTTGAAAACTTATGACACTGCCTGAAAGGGTCTACTTTCTCTTAGGACTGACATTAAAGTCAAAGTTCTCCCATCTTTACTAAACTCCACGAATCCTAGTAATGAAGGTAACACTGTACTGAACTGCACATACAAACCTAATGACTTGAACTCCTCATCGAGCAGACAGGTAGAGGTTGTGCTGCTGTGGCGGGAGGCGGCGGTTGTATTTTCAGATTGGTCTGTAGGAGACTGGGATGTCGCCTCCAGCTCAGAGAAGTCAATGAGTGTATAACTCTTCATGCGTCTTGGGGCTGGCCGGCAGGCTTTGGAAACAGCAGAAAGAATTAAAGAGAAATACAGGCATGCTCAAAAGGACACAGAGGGGAAGAACTTCAGGAATATCTTCTATTAACCACATGTAAAAGAAAATGATGGTTAAATAGTAGTTTTCCTGTGTTACAGGATTTTCTCCACACTTATTCTCCGAGAAGCACTTCCCTTCCAAACTCCACTCATACATGACATGCAGGAGCGGAGCTGTTGTAGAATGCTGCAGGAGGGTCTTTACCTGGTGCATCAGCAGAACTGGTGGCTGAATCTTCTCCCCCACCATTTTCATGGCTGGCTACAACTTGCCTGTACTGTCCGAGCGCCTGTGTGAGCTTGTCATTGGCCTGCAGTATCTCAGCTGGAAAACAAGAGAAGAAACACAATTTTGATGTTCTAACACGAGGGTCTCCAAACTGCTCATAAGAAGGGTAGGGCACATCTAAGGACTTTCCTGGAGCAAAGTCTAGTGGGGCAATCTGCCTTAGGATCCTGTCTAGTTTTTCATTCCATTTTCTGAAGTGCAGCATTTTGCACATGCATCTGCTGACTTCAGGCTTCTCTCTCATTTATCAAGATCACTTTGAAATCTGATCCTATCTCTAAAGCACTTACAGTTCCTGCCATCTCTTATGCACTTTGTTGTTCTCCACAAGTTTTACGAGTGTACTTGTGTCTATAATCCAGCACTCCCCAGCTGAAGAACCCTGGCTTTCCCTGGTATGAATGAAATGTGTGAGGCACAGCTGAGCTCTTATAGTTGCTGTTTAAGATGTCTATTCAGCAAGGCATCACTTCAGTCAGGTTTTCAAGGCTGAAATGCAATCCTCTGGGAAGGGCTGAATTTCACAACTATGGAATTCAAAGATTCTGGCTCATATGACCTTCCTCGGTATTATACTTACAAAATTTAAAAAATATTCTGCCTTCTGTGTGTATAGACAGGTCGGTAGAAAAAAGATCTCAAAAGCCTTCAGTTCTGTGAACACTAGAACTCCCCAGACTCTGGAAACCACCTTGGCTGGAAGAAACTGGATTCACTGTTTAATTCGAAGCTCCAAGTGAAAATTGATAGCTTCCTTGGAGAGAAGAGGAGGGAGGAGACTCTGCCAATTCCCATGGGCACGGCTTAAAGGTGAAAATGGAAGGCTTTGCCAGGAGGGTAGCATGTTCCTGAACATTTCCCCTCTCAGAGGAAGGGAATACCCCACTTGTCAAAGGAAGGGTAGACAAACTTAACCACAAAGAAATCCAAGGACAGCATTGGTGCTTACCTAGAGCCTCATCATCATCAACTGTCTCACTGGCGAGGCGAAAGAGCAGTGGCCTGAGCTTCTCACAGCGTTGAAACAGAGTCTATAGAAGGAAATGTTTCATGTCATTGCTCAGGAGATCCCAGACACTCTCACACTTCTCTGTCCCTGTGACCACCTGTAAGTGATACTGCCTCTAGAAGATGCACTTTCTGTTAAGGTCCCGACAAAGGGTATCAATGCTACGTGTTGCTGCACTCTTAAAAATCCACAGTGACCTGGAAGTACAGCCACTGGAACAAGGAGACTTTGCTGATATCTCCTCTGCAATCACACCCTCTCCATGGATACAGGCGTAAGATAGATCAGTGTAACATTACTCAATTTAAAAGAGAAAGTATCCAGGAGTAAATTGATCGACCACAGTACTCGGAGGGAAATATTATGACCATCAGTTTGAACTACCTCAGAAAACACAAAGCCACTTACACCCTTCTTCCTGGTGTTTTAGGAAGCAAAGAGGCACAGAGGCAGCTGCTTGTTCAGCCTGAAAGGAGAGTCTCTTCCATCTACAGCAGCAGCCCTCCCAATCCAAACTCTGCCATCTCACATAGCCACAGGAGAAGTTCTCACCTACAAAGCCTGGCAGGCATCCTAGTGCCGTATCAGGTATTTGGGGGCCATAAAGCTATTCTGACAGCCTTGTCAAACATTAATTAATTTACTGATATTTAAGAGCAGCAGCAGACCAGGGAACTCTGGGCAGAAGAAGGGGAAACACAGAAATGGTAGCACAAGCTGAAGAGCCCACAGCTTTGAGTTTCTCTGGTCAGATCTCAGCACACCCACCTAACCATGCCCGGGCTCAAGGGGATTCCCACGTGTTACACCACTGCTGGAGGAGGAACCATTTCCCCATGAGATACCACAAGAAGAGCTGCTAAACTGGACAGAAACTCAAAACAGGCACAGCAGGAGATGGTTCCATTCCAGCTTCCACTACATCACCAAGAGGGACCGTTATTTATCAAATATATTAGAAACTCCTTTCCTGGCAGAAGCCGAGTGCCCCATGCTGCCCTTTGAATCCTATTGCCCGAAGCCCTCCCAGCCATGGCCAGTCAAAAGAACCTCTTATGCAGGAAAAAGAGCATTTACCTGTAGGGTCTCATGGTCAGATTTGGATAGTTCTTGTTTCTTGTAGTTTTCTAGTAATTCATTCATACATTTAACGTTCTCAGAAACCTCACTGATGGTGTTCACTCTTCTGGACACCTTAGCTGACTTTTCTTGTTCCTTTGATGAAAAATGAAAGAAAAGTAGATGATGATTGGGCTAATACAGCCAGCGCATGTGCTTGGCTTTGTTGCTTTGGATCACACTTGTGGAGTTGCTTCCTATTAATATCTTATTGCAGGTAGAGGAGGCACATGGACTCACCCCCCAACAGCCCAGGATCAGTGCTGCACCACACCTCCCTGTCAAGGGTGAAGATGGAAGCCTCTTGCCTTTCTCAGGGCACCCTGGACTGGGTGTTGGTGCATAAGAATTCATTTCACCACAGGGACGAGTAAGACTTCAAAATTAGAGTTGGGAGTTGGTGGCTTCTGCCATACAGAAGGGCACTCTCAAAATGACGGCAGGGATTTTGTTAAAGCAAACCCAATCACTGATTTCTGCAGAGAACTGGAGTGCCCTTTCAGATGGGAAATGAAAACAGACACACCAGACACACACACTGTGTGCAGAAAGAGGCAGTTCTGTACAGATGTGGCCTTTTTTCCACCTGGGAACCGAGTTTCTTTTTGGAAACTTTCTATCACTAGCGCAGTATTACTGCCAGGATCCCACTAACCTGGAAGTGTCCCACCAGACAGGCTCATGGGTATAAATACTCCCCTCTTCCTGGCAGTGGCATATTTTAGGGAAACAAAACAAAACAAAACAGTCCCACACTGTAATTTCGGAATAACAAATACTGAAAATCGTCCCTCCCCTGAGGCAGCATTATGGAGATCAGGTATTAAGGACCCACTGTTAAAAAATGAATTGCCAAGTCCCCTCCCACCCTCCCTGGCTGCAAATGAGGCTTCTGACACAAGGAGCTGCCTACCTCTTTAATCATGCTCTTGATCAGACGGTTGGCAGCCTGCAAGTCCTCCGAGTGGTTGCTCTTTAAAAGCCTTGCTAAAAGCTGTTGAGGGGAGAGCATTGGACAGCGGTGAGCAGCAGTCTCTACTATGGGCACACATCGTATGAGAGCAGATATTGAGACACCCACCGTCGTAATAGTTTCTATAATCCTGGAAATATGTGGGTTTATGTCTATGGGTTTATGTCATAATCTAATCCAGACTATATTGCAGCCTCTCACAGCTGCCTGCACACACTGTTTGGCAATAGGAACTCTGGCTCTGCAGAACTTCTGTAAGACCTGCAGAAACCCTCCCTCAGGAAAGTTTAACAGAAACTATGGTTTTCTGTAAAAAAGTTTTACTTTTTACTACACAAACTTTTCTGACAAAGCATCAAAGAATTGTCTAGCTGTTGTACAGTGAGAAGTATTAGCATTATTCTGAAGATACTCTGTCTGAAACAGCACCAAGCCCCCAAAATATGACTAAGCCTGTTTTCTCATCAGTACAAATCAAAGGGGGGACAGGCATGAAAACCCTAAGGTTTACCTTGGATTTCTCTTCATCTGTGTCAAAAATAGAATTCTGAGGTCTCGGAGAAGGGGGAGGTAAAATTTTGTCTTCTGGCACTTTGGGGTCTGCTTTTACAATCCCTGGAATGGGTAACAATATTTGTTCAGTGACGCCTGAGCTGTAAAAACACCGATCCTCAACAGAACGTTGCATTTTATACCTAAGTTTCTTCACTCCTCCCCAGAACTTTACAGAATGAGACAGAGAAGCAACACCCAGACAACAGAATTCCCTTTCTCCCTTGAATTAAACACAGGCCAAATGAGATTTTCAGGGCAGAAAATAAAATTTGGATTCCAGGGCAAAGTTTGTCCTGTACCTCTTCCCTGCACAACAGTGGTGAGCACTGTGTGTGCAGAGGCCACAAGGCTATCCTGATCTTTGACTCAATAAGGCTATTTGGTAAATCTCTTTCAAACAGTTACATGCATCCTTAAGTACCCAAACAGCCTTGTAAGCGTGGCCTTTGTCCTTTTATCCTGACACACAACGTTTTACAAAAAAAGCTGAGTCACAAAGTGAAGAGGACAGATATCTGTGGTCTGAAACAATGTGACTTGAAGGCTAAAAAGGAAACTGAAATAAGAGAACTAAACCTTGTTTCTTCAGCATCTGATAAGCATCCCGGATTTTAACTTCCTGAGGAAACCAGACTGTCCAACTGAATATTACTTCTGTCACTCTTGACTTGACTTTTTCTGAAGACCAGGTTCCATAGTACTGAAAAGAAAACAAAACAAGAAAGTAAAGTGAGACAAAAAAGATTAAAACCAAAGAATTAGTGCCAAATACGGCATATGGGTCTAGCCCCAAGTTGTTTGGGTGCAGAGCCCAAGTAGCAAAGAGACTCCTAACACTTCATTCGCAGTGTTGCCAACTGTGTATCTTGTGGTATAGGAAACCATGCCTAGACCTGTGGCTGTAAATAGAAGGAAAGCTATTAAGCAGAGAGGATTTCCTAAATATTATAAGACAATCAAAACCATTTCAAAACTTCTCTGAAGCTGAATCTGAAACCAAAAGTAGGCTCTTTTATTTTAGTGAAAATAGTTTTGTGCTAGACTTTAAATACTTCCATTAACTGCCTGCAGTGCAAGTAGCACCACTTGCCTCAGCCAGGCCCGGAAAAATGAAAACCAAACAAAATGAGAAATGAAAGTTACTATCTTTTTTCAGCATCTGCATGTTCTCTCTGACTTCTCTCATTATTGCCTACAAGCACTCACTTTAATGTATTATAAAACCATCAGGAAGAACGATAAAAGCCACACACAAACCTACAAAACACGAGGCATTTTATACTCATTCAATAATACCTGTTCTGTCCAAAAAGCAAACAAAACTCCCTGTGGTGATATATTCTTTAAACTTTGTTGTTTCACTGAAATACTTTTACCAAACCTGGGACTGAGAGAAGAGGTTTTCTTGTTTGGTTAAACATTTCTCCGAAATCAGCTTTTTGCACCTCTGCCATCGAGGTGATGTAATGGAAAATGAAGGCTGTGCAGGCGGTAAATGTGTGCAGGACCCGCTAAAAAGGGGAATCGATTACTGAGTTCCTGAGAAGGGTATTTAAGCAAGTCCCAGGGCTGCTATTTGATGCAGAGAGGAGTGAGGCATGAAGATGACGCAGTCACTGATAAAACAAGTCTCCATTTTTCATCATGAGAGGCACCACCAGGGGACCCGCTCTGAACTGGCAGCTCTCTTCACTTCTCAAACTAAACTTCTCATTTATGACGGCTGCTTCTCTTCTCAGGGGGCAGCGTTTTCATCATGAGAGGCACCACCAGGGGACCCGCTCTGAACTGGCAGCTCACTTTGCTTCTCAAACTAAACTTCTCATTTCTGACTTCTCTTCTCAGGAGGCAGCAACTGCACTCAGAAGCAAACTGCTCCACAGGAGGGAACAGGAACGAATATATTGAATTAATATATTGCGAGCCAGGGAAGCGGAGCGGCAGGAAGGGACTTTGCAGCTTCCCCGTTAGCTACAGCTGATCCCTTCCAGCCTCCCCCTGCCTCGGGCTGTCACCCCTCTGCCCAGCTTTCAGTCCATCCTCAGCAGGACCCCAAAGGAGCTGTGTGAATGCATGAGTGTCAGGTGATGGTGGAGCAAGTGCTGCATAAGGGCTGCCCCAGCGCTGCTGAAATCCAGTCCCCCCGCTGCTGCTACTTCAGCTGAACCTGCCCGTTGAAGAGGACCCAAAGCCAGGCTAACCTTTGGCAGGACAAAGCAAGGAGGAGAGCAAACGGACAAGTGTTTGAGGGTAGAGCATAAGAAAACATGGGAGAGGCTGTGGGCAGCTCCTGGCATCTCTGTCCTCTGTCACTTCCCTTCCTTTCTGTAAATCATTGAGAGGCAAAAGGGCCACAGGAAAAATTTCAAGCTCTCCTACAGTCCTTGACTATCCCAGCAGAGTTGGGAGAAACCAACAGGGAAAGAGCTTTTTACAGAAAGAGCCCCTGGCTTATGTCTTTAACAGTGGGATTCACATCCAGTCCTTATGCTTGGAGGGCACAGAATGGATTCTGCTCTTCTTCTGTGTGAGATTAATTCTAAGTTTTTACATCCAGCATGAAGTAAACACTGTGTCCCACCTGCGATACCCAGCGTAACCACAACCACCTACCTTTGGAGAAAGCACTTTAATCAGCTCGTTCAGAAACCTGAATTTCGCTATTTCATGGTGAAATCTTTCACCGCAGTTATTCACACAGGTCTCTAGCACCTGCAGAAAACAAAACAGTACAAACCAGAAACTGTACACACAAGTTTTGGGGAATTTTTAAAAGCTTTGCCATTACAATGCTAAATCTAACAATTTTCTGACACTGCATTCACAAATACAAGACACTGAGAAAGTTTTACAGCAAGAACATGCAATTTTCCTTCATCCAGCCTTCTTTAGCAGCATGTTTAAGACCATCTGCTCTGTTCTACTCATCACTAATAACTTTTGGGACCCTGTGGTGGGACCACGGGTCAAACAGCAAGAGCTGCAGACCACTGAAACTCCTCGGCAGAGTGACACGGGAAGAACAACAGCAGTTACTCCCTCTGTTATACCCTGGTTTCTGTATTCCTTGTGCAATGGAAAGTTAAAAGGGAGAGACATCTAAGAGAAAAAGAAGAGACAGCTATGCTCTCTATCCCCAAACTATATCTCCAAGTTACTGCTGCCTCTCTTTGCATGAGGATGAAAGCACTTACTGTGAGAGCATGGAGGGCTTCCATCTCCTGAGGTGACTGTATTTTATGTGCCAGCAGTCTCGGTGCAAGCGATGGGCTGGGGAGTAGCAGAAGCAAGTCAGATAATGCACAAGTTCACAAGAAAAAAACAACCAACCTGTTGATTTTGCCCTGCAGAAAGGAGCAACTGCCAGATCCACAACCCGCTACATCAGAGAGACACTTCCTCTGGCCAGAGCACTGGCCTGGGGCACACGCACAAGGGGCGAGAGATGAATTGAAGCAGCTTGTGCCACCCCACTGCTGATCTCCAGCCGTGCCCAGAGGCTGTCCTCTTGGGGGGAGCCAGCTGGGAGAGGCTGGGGGCTCTCCCTGGGGGCAAATGCCAGGAGAGCCTGGCTCTCTGACCGGTCCTGTGCACACATGCTGCTGGGAGAGACGCTGCCAGGCTCCGGGCTGTGAGTACACAGGGATCTGCACTACAGAAAGAGATTATCACTAAGCTTTGACAGATCATTTGCTTAATTAGTTCCTGCTCCTTCCCACAGAGGCGAGACTGTCAGCTGGAAGGTGGGGGAGTCCCAGCAGAGATCTCCCACCTCCCTGAAAGGAAAAGCCAAGGCTTCCCTACAGAACCCCACGGCGGGTGTCCTTGGCCAGTCTCCCAAGAGGTGAGGACACAGCAGGAAGGACCTGCTGCCTCATGGGTGGCAGCAATGGGTGTCAGAGCCCATTCCTAGACATCAGCCTCCACCACAATGGCATACAGTGTCTTCACAACTTATTTGCACTCCCAGGAGCAGCAGAGCCCAGCGAGCACTCGTGCTGTCTCTCCAGGCTCCCCACACCGTGACTTACAGGTCCCATTCCCCCCCACAGCCATGAGAGGAGCTCAGAGCCAGACACCCAGCCCAGAGCCAGCACAAAGAGGTGTCTGTCTTACCCTTCTATGTCGGCGTTCACCTGGTCACAGAACTGCTGGATGCATTCCCAGTTTTCCTCGGGGATACTTGGGTCAGTGGCCTTATGCCTCAGGCTGTCACCCCTCTGCCCAGCTTTCAGTCCATCCTCAGCAGGACCCCAAAGGAGCTGTGTGAATGCATGAGTGTCAGGTGATGGTGGAGCAAGTGCTGCACAAGGGCTGCCCCAGTGCTGCTGAAATCCAGTCCCCCCGCTGCTGCTACTTCAGCTGAACCTGCTCGTTGAAGAGGACCCAAAGCCAGGCTAACCTTTGGCAGGACAAAGCAAGGAGGAGAGCAAACGGACAAGTGTTTGAGGGTAGAGCATAAGAAAACATGGGAGAGGCTGTGGGCAGCTCCTGGCATCTCTGTCCTCTGTCACTTCCCTTCCTTTCTGTAAATCATTGAGAGGCAAAGGGGCCACAGGAGAAATTTCAAGCTCTCCTAGAGTCCTTGACTGTCCCAGCAGAGTTGGGAGAAACCAACAGGGAAAGAGCTTTTCACAGAAAAAGCCCCTGGCTTATGTCTTTTACAGTGGGATTCACATCCAGTCCTTATGCTTGGAGGGCACAGAATGGATTCTGCTCTACTTCTGTGTGAGATTAATTCTAAGTTTTTACATCCAGCACAAAGTAAACACTGTGTCCCACCTGCGATACCCAGCGTAACCACAACCACCTACCTTTGGAGAAAGCACTTTAATCAGCTCGTTCAGAAACCTGAATTTTGCTATTTCATGGTGAAATCTTTCACCGCAGTTATTCACACAGGTCTCTAGCACCTGCAGAAAACAAAACAGTACAAACCAGAAACTGTACACACAAGTTTTGGGGAATTTTTAAAAGCTTTGCCATTACAATGCTAAATCTAACAATTTTCTGACACTGCATTCACAAATACAAGACACTGAGAAAGTTTTACAGCAAGAACATGCAATTTTCCTTCATCCAGCCTTCTTTAGCAGCATGTTTAAGACCATCTGCTCTGTTCTACTCATCACTAATAACTTTTGGGACCCTGTGGTGGGACCACGGGTCAAACAGCAAGAGCTGCAGACCACTGAAACTCCTCGGCAGAGTGACACGGGAAGAACAACAGCAGTTACTCCCTCTGTTATACCCTGGTTTCTGTATTCCTTGTGCAATGGAAAGTTAAAAGGGAGAGACATCTAAGAGAAAAAGAAGAGACAGCTATGCTCTCTATCCCCAAACTATATCTCCAAGTTACTGCTGCCTCTCTTTGCATGAGGATGAAAGCACTTACTGTGAGAGCATGGAGGGCTTCCATCTCCTGAGGTGACTGTATTTTATGTGCCAGCAGTCTCGGTGCAAGCGATGGGCTGGGGAGTAGCAGAAGCAAGTCAGATAATGCACAAGTTCGCAAGAAAAAAAACAACCAACCTGTTGATTTTGCCCTGCAGAAAGGAGCAACTGCCAGATCCACAACCCGCTACATCAGAGAGACACTTCCTCTGGCCAGAGCACTGGCCTGGGGCACACGCACAAGGGGCGAGAGATGAATTGAAGCAGCTTGTGCCACCCCACTGCTGATCTCCAGCCGTGCCCAGAGGCTGTCCTCTTGGGGGGAGCCAGCTGGGAGAGGCTGGGGGCTCTCCCTGGGGGCAAATGCCAGGAGAGCCTGGCTCTCTGACCGGTCCTGTGCACACATGCTGCTGGGGGAGACACTGCCAGGCTACGGGCTCTGAGTACACAGGGATCTGCACTACAGAAAGAGATTATCACTAAGCTTTGACAGATCATTTGCTTAATTAGTTCCTGCTCCTTCCCACAGAGGTGAGACTGTCAGCTGGAAGGTGGGGGAGTCCCAGCAGAGATCTCCCACCTCCCTGAAAGGAAAAGCCAAGGCTTCCCTACAGAACCCCACGGCGGGTGTCCTTGGCCAGTCTCCCAAGAGGTGAGGACACAGCAGGAAGGACCTGCTGCCTCATGGGTGGCAGCAATGGGTGTCAGAGCCCATTCCTAGACATCAGCCTCCACCACAATGGCATACAGTGTCTTCACAACTTATTTGCACTCCCAGGAGCAGCAGAGCCCAGCGAGCACTCGTGCTGTCTCTCCAGGCTCCCCACACCGTGACTTACAGGTCCCATTCCCCCCCACAGCCATGAGAGGAGCTCAGAGCCAGACACCCAGCCCAGAGCCAGCACAAAGAGGTGTCTGTCTTACCCTTCTATGTCGGCGTTCACCTGGTCACAGAACTGCTGGATGCATTCCCAGTTTTCCTCGGGGATACTTGGGTCAGTGGCCTTATCTTACATAGGGGGGAAAAAAAAAAAAAAAGAAAGAAAGAAAAAACAGCCTCAGTGGGAGAGGCGTGCAAGTGAGCAGCACAAGGCAGGAAGCAGCTCAGACCTCACGCTGCGACCAGCAGCTTCAGGGCTTTTTGTAAAAGAGGCAGAAATGGAAGACGCAGGAGGAGCAGGAAACAGCTGTTACTAAAATCTCCCTAAAAATACAGTCCTGAGCACACACTCTTAAAAGAGTCAAGGTCAGGCATAAACTGAGGCGTTGAAAGCAGCAACGGCACGATGTTGCTTTTAGCACAGAGCACGAGAAACTGCTAAAAAGCAATTACAGGCAGCTCTCCCAGGACCGGACCGAAACCCTCGCCGTGCTGGAACAGGGGCAGGGTTTAACCTTTTTGCAACAGGGCTGCAGGAGTGCCCATCCCAAAACTCTGCCTGCACGGCTGAATCAAGCAAAACTGTCTCTTTTTTTTTTGGCTCTATTTACTCCCCAGGTCCGGCACAGAACTAACAGTGAGGCTGAGGATGGAGAGGAGAGGTGGGAAGCGGGAGAGATGCAAAAGGTTAAGACAGCACCCCATTAATGTCACCCTGAAGGGGCTCCGTGGAGGAGATGGACCCTTCTCCTCGGAGCTCAAACTGCTTGTGCCCACCCAGTTGGGGCTGGGGGTCGGGGGTTGCTTCGCCGCTGGCTCCGGTGCCGCTGGAAGCG